GAACATTTTGCCCAACCCTATTGGTTTGGGACGACTTGTCAACAAAAATTAAAGTCATCCAATTTTCTATTATACTAAATTCGAATAGATAAGATTAAATAGTAAGTAAATAAATAAATAAATAAAATTATCTATTATCTTGTTCAATTTTCATTAGCCGAGCCTACAAAGAACAAAGTACATTTTACATAACATTGAAAACTTATATTACATTTATTGTGGGAAGAACAGTAAGCTCTTCTTCTAAAATAAACCAAGGTAATTACATTTACACTATCTATTTATACCTTTTAGGTTTCTTTTACTTTTCTAGGCACTTTTTTTTTTTTTAAAGTAAAAGGTTGGGTTGATCGAGTTTATTCGGTTTTCATGAGTTAACCTATAACCCGACCCGACCCGCCACACAGCCAACCTACCCAACTCGGTCGGGTTGGTTCGATTTTGGTGGGTTCGGTCGAGTTTTGCTCACCCCTACTTATATTAAAAAACCAAAATAAAATAAAAATCCATATAAAAAAAATGATACTTCAAAAAATAAAATAAAAACTTTTTTTTTAAAAAAAATGTTAGTTAAAAATATAAATAAAATAAAAACTTATTTTAAAAAATTTATTTAGAAAAATAATATAAAATAAAAACATATTTTAAAAAAAAAGTTTTTAAAATAAAATAAAAACTTATTTTTAAAAAAATCACTTAAGAAAAATAAAATAAAATAAAAAGTTATATTAAATAAAATGTTTCTTAAAAAAATACAATAAAATAAAAAATTATTAAAAAAAGTTACTTATAAAAATAAAATAAAATAAAAAATTATTTTAAAATAAGCGTTTTTGAAATAAAAAAATATTTATTTTTTAAATTTATCATATATATAAAATACAAAATTACCGTTTCACTTATTTTAAAATTAATGAAAATGATGAGAAGAAGTTGAGTCACTATACTGAAATGTTATATGAAATTGAGTGGTTATGGTGAAACGTTATATGCAATTGAGAGGTTATGATGAAATAAAATCAAATTGGGTGATCATGGTGACACTAAATATAAAATTGAATGGTCATTGTGAAACAAAATCAAATTGGGTGGCCATAATGACATTAAGTATAAAATTGGGTGACCATTGGTGAATTTAACCTGATAGAATACTTGATAAGATTATAAATTTTACTTGAATGTGAAAAAAAAAATTAGAATTTATTCTTGGATGCATACACGATTCACGAGTTTGCTTATAATATGGTGTGTATAGTGTTACACTTTTGCTAATGAAGGGTTTATGTTATTGCTATGGTGTGTATAGTGTTACACTTTTGCTAATGAAGGGTTTATGTTATTGATTTTATCTTTTCCGTCGGTAAAAGGCACAACCATTTACAAGGACTTAAATTTTCTTACATGGAAGATTGTTCCCTGTAAACACAAGAATAGTCTTTTGTTAGGGTCGAGTAGGCCGACCAAGGCGGCTCTCTTTCCACTTTATATATTGTTTATAGGGAAAATTGCGACCGTGGTCCCAAATCTTTCATTTTATTGTAGATTACACCCAAATCTTTTATTTTTGCGGTCGAAGTCCCAAACCTTTATATGTAATTGCAGCGTCGGTCCCAAGCCTTTAATTCCGTCCATAAAGCCGTCAGTCAACGTTCCAACAGTAATTTTGACTCGAAAAAATTGCAACGCTGGTCCCAAACCTTTCATTTTGTTGCAGATTACACCCAAACTTCTAA